AGGGGAGGGGGCCATCAGATTTATTCTAGTGGATTATCTCATGAGCCACCTCCATCGTGAACTGTGCCTTTGTGCCAAGTGGATACTTTATGAATTGGGTAATCATTTCCCTCGCCTTACGTCGAATATACCCTTTTCAAGGACTCCTGTCTTCATCCCTGTCTCTTACCCTTGTCCTACCCTCCTCTGCACAGACCATCACCATATGATGGACACCGCCATATGTGAAGATTTCTTTCTTTCTTTTCTCATACTCCCTTTCCGATTGAAAGCAGCGACCTGAGGAAAAAGCTCACAGTTTTGAAGGTGGTGCCAAACAGAGTGAATTGTCTGCCCTTCCAGGGTATGTCTTCTCGTGTATAGGCGTCGCGGTAATAGCTGGTCTCTACGAGGTTGTCAAGCTTGGCCGGCTAAGTGTCGAAAGATCTGTGAACGAGCAACATGTGAGGAACGATTTCACAGATTTAATTTCAAGCTCTCCGAACTTCAGTCGGCAGTTTTCAGTTATGTGGTTGTGACGGAGATGCAGCATCGCTCCATAGGATTGCGGCAGAGCCAGGAATGCCATGCGGTGTCGCCTGTCAGAATAGAAAAACGGAATCACCGTATGTTTTGCACACATTTTTATCTGTGGGTGAAAAGATTGTTCAGAATTCTTTGAGTTTTTACAGGTTCCTTTCGTCCAACCTAAAGCGTCCCATGCATATGCTATCATCTGCGATTTTCTTCTTTCAAATGTTCATTGCTTATTCACTGATGATGATCTCAATGACATACAATGTACCAATATTTATCAGCCTTGTTCTTGGTAACTTTTATGCATTCTTTTCACTCTTTTCTTTAGGCAGTTGGTTGGGTAAGAAGTAGGGATATTCAGTGTGCACTCGGCTACTTTTCTAAGTGGCCTATGTCGTTGGTCTGGAGCTTTGCTGGTTAGTAATACCGCAAGTTGAGTTTTCCGAGCGCGAGTGACCGTATCCCACCTCGAGCACCGTCCACCCTTTCCTCTGTCTAATTCTTACCAGCCTTCTTTGTCCAATTCTTTCCAACCTTCTTGGCAAAGGTCCCATCTGAATTTCAAATCTAAAACGATTTTCTGCCATGGGGTTAGCCAAAGACAGTTCGTGGAGGGCAAAACTTGGCATTTTTTGGCATACTGCAGCCAGCTCTACGCAATAGCGCACAAACGACCCGCGCCTTGTCTAAGCACCCATTCCATGCCACTACTGCCTTTAGACATACAACCCCTTCTTTACTACTTCTTAAAAGCCTTACCTTGTTTCAAATCCGCAATTCAAGCGCCTCGTTCGCCACCTTTGCTCAATTCGGCACTATAACTCAGTCTATTGCTCTTGAACTGAGTGAATCCTTGAATTGGGGAGTTGGCATTTTATAAGTAGACGATACCGACCTTCCAAAAATTATCGTGTACTTTACTGTAAATCGTAGAGCTGGCACCTCGATAGTAAGATATATTGCTGATAGCAGGCTTCATGAACAACATCTAGGACATAGGATGTTCAAAAAGGAGAATTTTTCACCATTTTGATATTGCCCTGTGCCGGACTACAAATGCTTCAATTCCAGGCCACACATTAACCTACTTCCTTCTCGGACCGCTGGTTTCAGTTCAAGAATACGAAAAACTTGGAGACTGTTGTGCATAGCCAGCCTGGCACCTTTAAGGAACTGGTTCCATCAGTGCTTGGAATGACTGTAAAAAATGAGTATACGTAGAGTGAATGAAACTTTACCTTCTTCAACAAAATGCAAAAGGAAAGAAGAAAGAAATGACTGAATGCCGTGTTACAATGGCGAGCCGCTTTGTTACAAGTAACTGTTACAAATACGTTAAAATATCGTGTTAAGCATCAAAGTGACTGGTCAAAGACTTAAAAGCTGTAAACGTACAGAAACGGAACCTTTTCTTTACATAATGTCTGGTTCTTCCTTCTTACACAAGGGTGAATCACCTCGCAGCTCTTCTTTGGGAGTCATATCTTCATGTTCGTTGCACATGTGTTCGACGTCCGAGTTTACAGCTTCTTCTGCAGTATCCACATGTTCTTCCTCGATGATTGGTGCTTTTCTGCTTTCTTCATCTCTTCGAGCAAATAGTTCATCCCTCGTCGGGTGATTTCTTACAGCAACCTTAAATTTAACTTCAAATTTGTGCAACCTTTGTCAAGAAATCGTTGTTAGAGTACTTCGTCGCTATACAAAGGCATATATGCAATATTAATATGTAGAAAGGACGACTTAGGTAACGACCGCGAACGGGAAGAAATTCGTTCCCCATCTCCGACATATCTGCATTACAAGCACCGATAAAAATACTTTCACCATGCGGATTACCGAAAATACAAAACAAGAACTTCCGATTTGCACAAATTCCCTACCTTTTCCATATTTCCAAGTATTCCCATGACATCAGGAAGTGGGTGATACAACCATGGACACATGCAGAGCCATCCGCTATACTGAAAGAGGAGAAACTAATTTTCAAGTAACGACAAGACATCAGTTAAATTTCCGCTGTACTTACTCTCTCGGTGCGACTGAAAATTTTCAGATTGGAGGCATCCAAACCATCATACGTATATTTTTGAAGAAGCTGATGGTTATCGACAAGCCATATATGTCCAGCGTAATTATCGCTATCCAGATCCGCATAACGCACTAAGAATGTGCCCTTCTAAATGGTGACTTGTAAATCGAGAGAAACATTTGAAAAGTAGATCTACCAACCGGGAAAGCCATGTTCTTCTTTTTCTGTTTCAACAGTTCACCATGAGTAAGAGGAAGCGGTGAATCACCATTCACTACATTTGTTTCTGCTAAACTCGCTTCGGCTCCTTCGATGTCATTAATCAACTTCTTCCGCTTGCTAGTTCTGTAAATTAAAAAAAAGGATGTAGTGTTTGCTAAGCATTATATTTTGCTATACGATGGATCGATAGATCTAACACCGAATATCCAACACAAAAGTCAGAACCAAACCAAACTTTTCCATACTACGAAGAATTCGATCATAATGCTGAACTTGACACCACTTGTGTCGTAAGAATTGGTCAACTTGTCGAACAATCCTTACGACACATTTTGGTTGGTCCAGTTTCACCTTTAGAAGAAATCTGCTAATCCCCCTCAAAAATAGACAAAAACACTAACCTTCTTTTGCGGACTGTAGCACCTCCGGCTTCTTCACCTTCTAATGTCACTTCATCCGTTTTGCTTTTCCTAGATCGCCTGCGCCTTTTTATTAATCCTCCATCGACAGCTGTTTGTTCATCCATAGCCTCTGCTTTTATGATAGCGTCTGCAAGTGATCTAAGTACTCTCAAAACACCTTCGAAGCACAGAAACTAGAGGGTTATCGTAGTTTGTAGACGATCTTGTTTCAAAAACTTCGAATGGCATAACCTCCAGAGAGAAATTTTGAGACAGTGAATCATACTGTTAGACAATAAAAAGCATAAAGCATGCGAGCAAAATAAACCGTATTGTTTTCTAACAGTAGCGAGAACGAAATTTCTTTGAAAGGGATCGATCCACTGACATCGTAGCTTAAAGAAGTAAGTTTGTGTTCGCCGTTGTTTACGGCTCATCGCAATTGTAAGGCTCGAGGGCTTTCATACTTCGGTGACCAATACTTAAGTAGATGTCGATCATATGATAGCGCGTGGATGGATTGTCGAGCACTACCCATTGGTTATTATGATCAGATTTTCTCAGATTTCGAATTGTAGGTAACTCTTGAGTCTTTTCAAGTTGTTCATTGAATCAAATAAGCAAAACATTTGTTCACCTTGCCCATTTAAAACGTTGTTGTTATGGGGAGTGCCCACTGCGTACTCAAGAGGAACTTGAGCGTATCCGAACTGAGCCTGATGTACTGGTACCTGCGAATATGGAGTATAAACTTCTCAAAATCTGACTAAAATGGAGCCGATTGATATTGTTGGCTTCAAAAGGTTCTGTCAGAACACTTTGGACACCCAAATATATTTCAACTTGCAGCTGGAATCATCTGCTTTAATATAATGTATAAATTTTCTTAAGAGCGGGGTATAACAATCAGAGCACATCATTAAACGCATCACTATGAACAAATGAATCGGAAATCGCCTGTATCAAAGCAACCCTGGACAGTTGGAGGGTCATGAAAGCTTGAGAATGTCAAATAGTTTCTTCCAAATTCCTTCCAAGTTTCCTCCTTCCTTATCGCAACTCTGCATTACTATCACGTTAAACTAATTTCAATAGTACTATGAACTGAAATCACGTTAAACTTAGTTTGTGTTCACCGATAGGGTGAAAGATTGTCAGAGCAGTGTGCTCTTTCCACTGTTCAAATGTTCTATCGATTGAACAAGAGAAGGAAAATTACCTGGACACTCAATCCATTTTGCTGATTAACGTGAAATGAATTTGTGCCAAGCGGAGATACCTTAAAAGGCGATACAGAGAAAAGAATAAGGAAACACAAAAGTGCAGGAAAAGTTACCTCAGCATGATATTGGTTGTAAGACTGAAGATTCACATCTCCATCGTAGCACATGTACACTTCACCACCATTGTACTGTAATTCTGGTTTAACACCTATCTGTGTCGCACCATACTGAAATTGAGGTTGAACTCCAGCAGGAACTCTTGACCTTATCAAGATTGGAACAGGCTGGGTTCCCCCCGTTGCTGTTGCATTTCGTTGAAGTCTCTGTTGTTGTACCGCGGACTGCATCATGGCATATGGTATGTTGGCTGGATGAGTGATGACACCCGTTTGTTCCTGACCAGATGGTTGCGAATAATACTGGATCCCAGGTTGAATAGTAGGTATGCCATCTCGTCGGACCAAATACTCCCGCTGTTGCTGTGCTAAAGCTGCCGACTGTGGATAGTAGTGATGACGTTGTAATTGTTGTTGGTACTGAAAAGAAATATTTACAGTTCCGAACGTAACTTCGAATTCATAGTCAGCTCAAAATATAGCTGTGCTGCCCACAATTTGGTTACCAGCATTGATCACACAAAATAAAAAATTCACACTCGTAACAGCGGGGGAATTTAAGCTCACAGAAACACCTCTCACTAATATACTTAGTTCGACTCCAAACCTGCTAGTCGCAAGGCATTAAGGAAGCAATGTAAGGAGTGAATTCTTATAAAAAGAGTCAGCCACCTCAAGCCAAGGCCAGAGTACCTTACGACTGCATGTAACGCAAAGGGCGAGTCAACCTGAGTGAATTGTAAAGCTCAATTCCTATCGAGTCGAAATTTTTCCTCCTTCTCATTTTTGTGTTTGTTTATATGTTCGCCCCTTTGCTCACTCTCCATGATTATTATAATGGTGTAATATAAAAAACAAGTATGTATAGTAACAATGGAAGTAAGTTCAAAAGGTAGGTTTGTCTGATGCTACTGATAGCGCCTTTACACTATAGCCTAGGTCTATTCCTCAACTAGGTAATTACGACCAATCGATAACGATGAGTTGCGCGTGGAGCATAGATTGGGGAGGCATAAATGGGGTGGGGACGAAGATTTGGCTATTGGTGATTTTTGACATGGTACACCTCAGCACTATTACATCACTCAATAACGGTAATCCTTCAACGATCTAACCCTTCTCTCTCCCACCCCACAGGAATTGTGCAGATGATCATGTTCGAATAGATAACGGAGGAGAAGCGCGAATAAGAATAGCTCCTAGGCACGTAAGCGGGGGTAATGCGTTCTAACATGAACATCGATCCGTTCACTATCTCCACTATTGTAGTTCTCGGGCTTGACTTTGAACTTTAATGCTCTACGTCATTACTCCGCCATCGCCACCATTACGTTCACCTGTGCATTCAGACTAGGCCTCGCTATATAGCCAACGTCCGACGTCGTTAGTTATGCTCAATCTGCATGGAATCGATATTGATACTTTCACTATAGGGCAAGAGCGTAACCTTCGTAAATCCTGAATGATAATGTTCATGGTTAGGCCGCATTCATACTCCATGCTGATATGAATGGAGACGCGCGATAGGTGTCGGCTCTGGAAGAAGGGCGTCGGGGTTAATCGATATATTTTACGACACGGGCTAGGGTTTTTTAAGGTGTCCAAACTTACCTGTTCTACTTCGTTACTCAACGCTACTTCCTAAGCATCAATACTAGAAGTTATCAGCAGTAATATGAAAAAATGAAGCAGAAAAAGCGCAACTGAAGGTCTTAAGTAAACTATGAATCCATAGGTTATCGATTACGTGCTGTATTGATCAACGCCCGTCGCCTATTGCGGAAAGTTCGCATATCCACCAGCACGTAACGTATAAAACACTGAGCGTTTCGGAAAAAAGCACGTCGCGTAACTGTGCCTAAGAGACTAGGCGATTCAACAAATCAGGTGCGAAGAAAATTATGGTGAGCAAAAATACTGCGTTAAATTTTTGGTCATTGACTTTGTCAAGTATAGCAAAATAGGAAAAGATTCAAATTCCAGGAAACCTCATAAAGCATTAACGAAGAAAAGTAGAAAGAAGTAAGTTTCGGGTTGTGTGGATAGGATCTGCTGAAAATCCCACAACTGTCCATATTTGGCCAGATCAAAGTTAACCTCAGATCTTTTTGGTTTTGAGCTGTGTAATGTTGGAACGAGGGGTGCACAGAACCGCCTGGAAGAAGCTTCAGAGCCACGGCTTGACATCATTCTCAATGGATCTCAGAAGCAAACCAGGCCGTAATAATGTCGTAAAGAAGTACGTGTTGAATATGGGTAAACAGTTTGGTCACTATATTTGTAAACAAGTAAGGAAGAGGTAGCCGGACATCTCACGCGCATACGTGTGGTTAATGCCATGAATCTTCTGGAAAACCCCAAGAGTCTCCCAGTTTCGAGGAAATTTCGGCAAGAATTTTTAGCGCAGCCTAACACGTTCAGCAACGCATACCTGTGGATGAGCCAAGATGTATCCTCTTGTTTGTATATGCTGCGACTGGGGATGTACAACAGTGGGAACATGTCTAACCATATTCGCATTGTAAGAACCATCCGTCGATTCCACCTATGCGTATCTATAGCCAATTAAAAAAAATTAGTTAAACAAATTCTCAAAGACTCACCTTTGCCACGGCATACTGTGCAGAAGTTGAAGTGGTGGCGGTTTCACCAGGGCTAGTACCAGGTTCGTAGAAAAACGACGCAGCCTGTGGATTAAAGCCAGCATTCGTCGACAAATAGCCGGGCGTGTAATCTTCAGTTTTGATAGCAGTAAGCTCTGTGCTATCTTGAGGCATTCTGAATTCGATGAAACATCATTACTGGAAGGGAAGGGTGCTGAATTATCAAAATAGGAATGAAAATCACCGTAGATTATCACCAAGTAAAACTACAGTATCAAAAACAAACCTTAACATGTTATAATTCGCTATCGATATGGTGCGTACAAATCGATACGCATTTTCCTCACTGAACAACATTTCTTCGTGGTCCTCGCAGGCTCTGTTACTATAAACAGGCATATAGACTCTGGAAATTTTATGATGAGTATGTAGCAACCTACCTTCGTGTAAGCATCCGTTGAATATTTCATAACAATCGTCCCATTTAGACTTGTCCTACCATATATATTTCATAATAATCGTCCCATTTAGACTTGCGGCAACTCGTCCGGCTACTACCGTAGTAGTGCAATCGGTATGAGACCGCTGTCGCCGTGACATCGTCAAAGAATCCTTTAAATCCTTGTATCAGCGCAGTCGTACTCTACTCGTGGGTTTTTTTGCTAAATAATGGAATCTGTTTTGGTTAATCCTAACTTGTCTCTGGTACCTCTTTACTATGACAGGCATCATTCGGAGCAAATGAACGGGAGAGGCGACTAAGTATGTACCCTAGTATATCGGTGAGGACTGATTTTCTTGCTGATTTTTTAGTATTGATCCATCTTTTTTTTTTCTTCAATTAGAGTCGCTGTTTTTGGGACATGTGGGAGCTCCGAGGGGACAGCCCATGAGCCGCTACGCGAACTCTTCTCGTATGCCATTGGAATTCCGCTTGCCCCATCCGAAATGAGGCCACTATAAACGTAAAAAGAATAAGTAATCGCGACTGAAGATGATTAGGTTAGCAAGTTTTATGGGAAGATCGGTTCTACTGCTTATATTCGTTCAGAATTTCCATCGCGTAACGTATTTCATAGTTGGCGTTGGGGCATCCGGTTTCTTGTACATAACGCATCGTCGCGGCACCGCCACTGAATTCGATATACTCGAACTGGCATCGGTTACGTGAACTATCACAATTTTCTAGTCTACAGGAATAGCGGAAGGGGATGAAATCGCTTGTCCTTGTCTTGATTCGGAGCCAATTGACATTGCACTATTTCTCAGCATGGGCGCTTTAAAAGATACTCAAGAATCGAAAAGAATCTTGAACAGGTAGGACCAACCCGTATTTGACTAAAGGGGATCAGTCCCAGAAAATTCGAAGCTCAAACTCATCGTTATCTGTACGAAGAATCCTCCAGAGACTTATATGTCAATAGTCAGGTGGAGGTATGGCTGCAGTGGGTGTGGTCCGATTCACGCGTCATATAATGAGGTCATCGCACAAAATGCGCTTAAACATCATGCCTACCATCATGATGCAAGAAATAAGAACTTATAAGTAGAATGACTAAAAAAATGACCAACTATGCGAAATTTTGAAAAATGAAAAATGAAATTTTGAAAAAAAAGAAATGATTTGCGAAAGTTATTCTTATTTTGAGCGTTTGATAAGTATATTGTTGACCTAGCGCACTATCGCACGGATACTCCAGGAATCCAGTACCGGATCTATACTTGCGCAGGTCAACCAAACTTCGATCCCTTCGAGTTCAATTTTTTGGTACAAGACTCGTTTGGGAGGATAAAAACACTCTATTCAACATAACCAGTCAAGTCAGTGTAAAGGCTACACGCTATACGCTTCTGAAACATCTTTACTACTCTGATTAGATGTCGTATGCGGGGCGCATCCCAAAAACAGGATTGAACAAAGGCACATTTTGCGTTGAAAATGATTCTTGAGATTTTCCCCTGAATGTAACTGTGGCCTCCAGGGATGAGGCGTGGGTTATTGTTGGGTCCGAAAACGATGGAGACGGTGTGAAGTAAGGGTTCGCGACCGGCTTGGCTGACGCACACTCCTAAAAGTGAACGTGTTACGTCCGCTTTGCCATGACTGCACCATTCACAGTGGAGCACACACGTTGAAAATTCAAACAACTGGTCGTGATCCATGATGACGGTGGGAGGCAGTTTTTGGCATCTTTGCTCACTTTATCCAGCTCTCCTTAATAGCGCACCACTGACAGTCTGTCCAAATACCCCTGCCATACCACTTTTGTCGCCATAGTCTAACGAACCCCCTTTTTTAATTCTTTTGAATCTTTTTTTTTCTTATCTCAGTTTCTTCTTGACTACTTTCGCTCTTTCTGACCGTTGCGCTATTCTGCTCCATAACAACCACTGTTTCACCTAGACCATGTATCTCGATATTATCATGATTCGTCCCTAGAATGGTAAACATATTTTCGGCGACCTCGGTGGCACTCCTGACATGTACCAGGGGAACGCAGAAGTAGGAGCTGGCTTCTGAGGAGTCCGTGGGTCTAATTGGTCTTTCAAGATGGCCACAGGTTTTGAGTTATCGTACTCTTTCAGTAGCCGACTGCCGCTGCTAACAATAAGAGAGTCTTCAGCTTCTTAAAGATCACATCACTGTCTCATAAGGTTGGCGAATTAAGGCAAAACTTCAGCCTCGAAGGAGGCTCGAACTCGTGCTTCTGCTTTCCGGGCGCCGCTTTTTATCCCAAAACTACCGGGGCCCCGTATGCCCTCTACCTTTCTGTTCTTAATTTTTCATGTTTCACCTTTGCTATTAGAGCACGCTAGTTGTCTAGTTGGTCAGTATTTTGGAAACTGACTTCCAGCTCTGTCTTTAATAATTTGGTGAAAAGCAGATTCAGGTAATTCTATTGAGCCTGGAGACTTCATCTTCCTGCATTAATCAATCCTGTTCTGCTCAATCCTCAGTTGCGTATGGTAGTGTGCCAATCATAACTACGCAACCTTGATCCATCCAAATTACTACTTCCATAAGCTTTCCGAAATTTTCATTGAAGTACGATCTATGCTCCTGAACAGCATTGAATCTGAAGTTTTCTCAAAGTGATCCCGCAAATTAATTACTCAACCTGAAAAGGCCTCGTGGGTGAGGGATTTTGACCACGTTCTTTACCCTACACTTCCTGCCGCTGGAGCTCCAGCAGCAGCTTATTTCTGTCCTGTTTGCATTCCGTTCCGATACGCGGATTCCAGTCTCATACGCGCTGCAGTCGGAAAGATAGCTGGAGCCGAGATTGACAGCCACTTGTTTGCCCACTATTTAAGGGAAAGGGCACCGTGGTCTCTACGATATCGACCTCATGCTATTCTACATTATTTTAGCGCTTTCAATCCAACTCTGTGAGTTTATTATTTCCACTTTTGTTACTGGATTGCTTCATGTGCTTCATACTCCTTTACTGAGTTTTGGGATTACAAATGAATTTCAACAGTATGTATCTGATCCTACCCTTGTTTAACTTTTGCTCCAAAGAAAGTGAGAACACTTCAGAAAGCAAGAAAAAATCAAAGCCAAGTTCCAACGTGTAAGTGGTGCCCAGAAATCTAAAGGTTGGTTGAGAGTAAGGCTTAGCATTGAATAGGGAGTTTCAGTTCTGATGATCCGGTCCATAGAAGGAAATTTTGGCTTTGCAAATCAAATAGACCTAGATCCAACACCGTCATCAAAGGCACAATTCACGACAAGAATAGTTCGTGAGATATCTTCCTAGGAAGAATCTATTGCTTCCCCATACAAGAGCCTCCTAGGACGAATCTTCCCTCTACAACCGTTCCCCACACAACAGATGTGGCGCTGTCAGATCGGAAGTCATGTCGGAAAAGTTGTCATAACGGTTCAAAGATTGTATCGGTTGTACGCCGCACCCAAAGGCGGACGAATTTTGCGAGGTTGTACAGCGGAATCTTAGGTTTTTTTTACTTACTGACCTCCTCATCGATACACAATTTTCCCCAACACTTCCGCTATTGAACTAAAGAAAGTTAAACTCAAATTTATCGTGAACTGTGCCACTATGCTGCTCGAATACTTCACTGACCTCTATGGGATGCGCATTGGAGGGGGTTAACGAATGAGGATTTGCCAGTTGCGATTCATTTCTAATGGTCTCTACTCATTGTGTATTCAGCATGGCTTGTTTTTTTCAAAAATCGTCTAGTATTTGTATGTTAGTTTTTATGGCTCAAAACTGAACAGGTTTCTGCTGTACTCTGTTAAGCAGAGGAGAATTCTTCGGCATCGGCATTCCCCCTTTTTCTTATCATCATCTCAAGGCTTTGCCGAGATTCAATCGATCTTAGGATTCACAATGATTTTGAAATTCTTTTAGCGGATTCATACACAGCTCAACCTCCTTGCTGTCGAGATCATATCGGTACAATCACTTGTAATCGGTTAGCGAAAACCAACTCACGTCTGTTTACACGAAGATGTAATACGGATGCTGAGTTCAGGTAGCTTTTTTGTTTTGCTTCTCAGCTTTTTCTTTTTTTTTCGGCAAAGATAAGCTGGGTCTCGGCAATGTAAGAGAGAAAGAGTAGAAACAGGCATAGCGCGAGTAAGAGTTTTAGCTCCGCTCAGGACAAAGCTTAACCCACAGTTCGCCATCGTTGTAAGTCTTCTGCATCGCATTTCGCATTTAACAGGATATATATGAAAGCGTTTATGGTTAGGGAAGAGTAAACATCTTTCTTACAGACTAATCCAATGCTGTTCCGCATGTAATCATAGTTCTGAGACGATTGCGTACGATTTAATAGCACGCTCATTAGTATCAGAACAGTGCTATGATAGATATGGATCGAAGTTCTGTGCCAGGTAATCAATTTCACCCACTTCACTTGACGTTTTGAAACTAAGCCAATCATGTATATTTGTATTAGTAATCTACATATAAAATTTTTCGATATGTGAACGCCACCGATGTGTTCGAATCTCAACAGAAATGGAACTGTGACGGTGAAAACCCACAAATCGCTTTTCGGGCATGCCGGAAATCATGTGGATTCTGTGACTTCTCAACCATCAACTATACGATAGCTGATGCCGAGAAGGCTTGCAATGTGAGTGCCTCCAGATGTATTTAGGATTCTTCTGCTAGAGTACGTGTAAGGAGGTGCACTCGCGATTTCGCACCCAAAACTGACCCTTGTCGTGTCAAGGTCCCTGGCTTTTAGAAGGTATGAAGGTGATTCGACCTGGGACGCTTACTCCCAGATCCAATCATATCTCAAAATCTAAAAAGGACACCAAGTGGGTGACTCAATTTTGACACAGCAATGGCACCTCCTGGCCTACTCTACTTCTGCAGGGTTCATGCATGAGCAAATTTTGTTATTTGAGGAGTGGAACTTATCTGTACGATGAAAGTCACACTTGATGGGTGACTAACCAGAAGTCAATTGTCTAAAACCCTAATACTTTAGTTACAGAAGAACTCTGGCGGATGGAGAAATAAGCTGCTCCCAAATGGAACTAATAAGGATGACGCCGAAATGCTTTATGACTTGAAAGTGAATTTGCAATAAATTATTTGAATGCCGAAAATTGACCATTTCGAATATGAATTCCGTTAAAGCTCCCAGGGACTCTTTTCATCCTGGATTGTGAGGAAATAATTCACTTCAATCGTTTTTTGTTTCGTTGAAGACCAAGTTTGAAGGCGATTCTTGAAAGGGATTATGTACCTATTCATTCATTCCAACATACCAACATTTAGTAGATCATTCTTTTCAATTCTCGGCTCAGCATTTGAACTTATTTCGGAACTTATTTAACAACTATCAGCATTGTTACATAGAGGACGAAGGCGGTGTAATGGCAAGTAGCGCACTATCGCACAAGCATTGTACAGGATCGAACCCTCGATCGATATCAGCCCTGGCCAGGCAAGAATTCCATCTTGCCATCGTCGGTATTTTGGACCAAACTCAACTAAGAGGATCAAAGCCCCGACTTGTACATTGCCTGGCCATCGCAAGTTATTGTATAGGCCACGTACTTATTCAATATGCCACTACGATTCCGAGTTGAAATCGAATACGGTGGCGCATCCCTCAGTCGCTACTGATTGACGCCTTAAGACTTTAACCTTTATTGTTACATCGATGATAAAACATTGAATGATTTTTCGTTGAGAACTGATAAAGCAAGAAGTTGGATCACTGACTACTTCTGTTTTCTGAGAGATTCTTCGTGAGCGCTAGCCACGAAATGAGGAAATAAAACCACATCAAGTGCGCTCAAGGTAGTTGTTACTAGAGGCAGATCATAGTAAAAATGCAGTCCTGAAAGGGTATTTGCCATATCTGATAAATTACAGAACAGCTCCTCAATCCCTACTACAAATGCATAAAGGTCAATCTGTCTGTCGATCTATCGGTCGGCCTGTCTGCCCATCTGTCTGTCTGTCTGTCTATCTGTCTGTCTGTCTGTCTGTCTGTCTGTCTGTTTGTCTGTTTGTCTGTTTTACAACGAAATTCGTCACTAGCTAAAGAAGAACATGTAGAGCCCGGTAAAGTTCGGGTTTTGGGGGGCATAGGACACGTACAAAGCAAATACTGACTCTGCGGGTAGCGACCTACAGGGGTGGGACACCAGGCACCGAAAGAGCAATAGTCTAAGAGTAAACGTCCGTAATCGGTTCCAGAACAGCCTGGATAAGAGTGGCCATTGGGAGCTTGAGTAGTAGCTTTTCTATCATTCCCCGTTCGCATGGGGTTTCCTAACAAGAGTCTTAGAAAATCATCAAAGAGATCAATCATCAAATCATTGACGCATGAACGAAAATATCATCACATCACGCTTACCAAATTGTGTGTCCGTAGATCCAAGTATTACGATACAGAAGGTAGAATCGAATATAACTTTTCCAATCTAGAATTTACTCGTAATGAACCTCTAACTTTGTAATCTGAAAGGCAACATAACTTTTGTCAACCGCGTTTTGACAATTGAAGCGGCCAACTGGACCTCTTTGGTGAAGACATTGATTAATAGTCGTATGGGAAAAAGAGAAAAAGGAGCTCCTTCACTGATAATGAGCAGCAATTGCCAGTAAGTTCTATCGTCCAGGTGATTAAATTGTTCCTATTCATAATCCCAAACTGATTTTTCTTATAAAATTGTAATTTCTATTGAGACTGTAATCTAACGATGTTACTACTCCTTAACATCTTTGAAGACCCTTTACAGACCACGATTGCGCTCGGGTTCGATATTTCACACCAGACGATGGTTCGGGAGGTCACCATCTACCTACAGCCATTCAGATACATTGTTGATTATTCCGGATAAAAAATATCCATAGTGGGTCAGTGAAACGATGGAACTGCAGTGAGATCGTTGACTCTGACCCGTGCAACTGCTCATCTCTCCTCAGACGAACCATGATTTTTTGCCTTACAAACCTGAGGGATCTCCGAGGAGGAAAGGACTTTTCCCCTGGCCCCAACCCCATAGCAACATTGAAAATGAAAAGTTTCAATTTGGTTTATGCTTATGAAATGTAAAATGCTGATGTGCGTGAAAAGACCGAAAGATATTCAAGGAGGAAAAGACTCACCAAAATTAGGACGACAATTCTTTCAATAGGATGTGATCCAGGAAGCAGTGCTACTAGTTTCAAGGGAAAGCAAGCGCACGTTAAAGTTGTTGCGGTAACGAGAAGACTTGTGTACAGGAATGGTACCTCTGAAAAATAATCGCATTCGGATAACAGTTGCAGTTACGTGAAACTCCATCCGAGCCCATCTCTCACCATGTCGGTGCTCTTAATAGTAAGCAAGCATACATATAAAATTAGGGGTCTAGACGTTTAAAGGCATAGTTCCCGATAAAAATGGTTCCTGAGATTTCCCTATAGTATGAATTGGAGGCTCCCCCTTATACCACCATCCCCCTTGTAAAGTCGAAAAAGTCATGCATAGGGCAGAATAAGGGGCCAGAGATTGTGTCATGCCCGCGCCCACGTGGACGAGTTTCAACGACTTTGTAGAGGCCGCACTATCTCAAGAGACTCCCATGTACGAAGTTCAAACAACTTGTATAAACCATAGCGACAGTGAGAGGCAGTTTTGGACAATCTCGGCTTGATGTAGTCGTCTCTCTGAGTAATGAGAGCGAGTTAAATCTCGTTAAAGCACCCCTTACATGCCTTGAGTGTCACGGTGATTTCGTCCAACCACCACTCCCACTACTTTTAAGAAGCCTCGAAGTAGGCAGATTTTCTCGCTTTCTTCGCCACCCATGTACTCCTCTACATCAACACTTCCACTTTTCCACCTAAAAGGTGTACCTTAAAATTATCGTGAACTGTTCCTTCAAAGAACTTGGAGTACCAAAGACCGAGAGCATTCCCTCTCAATATCATTAACCGCTTTTGTTTTCATTTTTCGTCAGATAATAAACACGTTTTAGTTGGGACGATATGCACGGTCTAGTTCTTGTAAAAATGCTTCTGAATTAGTTATTTCAAGTGGATTCTCATGATCGAAGCGGTTTGGAACTAATTGTAAGTCCTCCTACAGTAATCTCTATTCCTACGAGGTGCAGCCCCGCCGACATAATTGATAATCTGCTGAGAAAAGCTCTTTCTCTGAGGTTCCATAGCTACTAGCCACTAGCACTTTCGGCGCTTTTATCTTCTTCCATTACTCTAGTTTCCGCTTCTCAGTCAAGTTCCACCACCTCTTCTTTGCGGTCCCACATGATCTCTTTCCTTTCATTGCCTTAATTAGCGGATGATTATGTGGTCTTTTCAGAACGTATCCGTACTATCGCGAACCCTACTTTTTCATATTCAGCTGGACGGGACTGTTTGTATAACATCTTGACGTCTTCTTTTCTTACTTTGTCCAGACGCAGTTCTATCTGAGCATCATCAATCCAGCTGGATACGGGGCAGCACTCACTTCCGTAGGCCTCATCATTGTCTGGCACCTTCCCTTTGACCGTCCTGGATCACCGCGTGCCGACTTGGACTCTCTCCACTTTATCTATGCCGCGCTTATCCAGGCCTTCACGCCTACTTCACTCTCCGTCAGTGACTAGGTTCATTACCCGGGTATAGGAAGTCCGGAAATCAAGAAGTCTCACTTGGAAGTAATCTAGAAAGATAGGTTGAACTAATATAGCGCTTATACAGCGTAGGTCATATCATAGGTGTATACTTCGCAGGGAGCGTGATAGCGATTCGCATCGACAACACGATGACATCGATCGATACCGATATAAATAACGGTCTTTCAAAGTTCAGATGACACTGGAACTTGTGTATTAGAAACGTCACCATGTGATTATCTTTACGTACCATACTCATGACGAAATATTAAGCAGCCGTACTCGCTGCTGATCTTAGACCCCATTTGACAGCACACTTCCTGCCACTTTGGAGATCGTAGTAAGCGTAAATTTTAGAAAGGGTTGATCCTGGTGCAAAGATAATAAGCTAGTGGGTGCAGAACCGTCATGTCTGGTGTCAAGGTGTAAATACTTACCACCTAGGACAAATGTACTTGACATACACAATGCATTCCAAATTACCCATACAAGCTGTAGCACATTCAAAAAGTAAAATGTAGGTCGTACAACATCCTGAAGTGAGAATGGCTCGTGGATTCTGAGCGTGTCGAACTGGAAACACCAACCTTACTTCGAGAATCCTGCATACAAAGTGAGTATCACAGAGTATCTGCCGTATTGCAGATGAGCTACCGTTCTGTGTTTGCTAGTGATTGCTTCGAGGCAGATTCAACGACGAAACAGGAGTACTGCGATTTGTTACCAGAAGGGTGACCAAATTTGGGTGAGTCTTACCAGCAACTGATTCGACAACCGTTTGAATGGTCCACGGGACGGAAATAAGAGAAAAAGGCGGTTCAGTGCACTCCAGTTATTCTAAATTGTCCCCTGGAAGTGCTTTTCCTAAAATACGGATCGTTTGCCTTGACTTTATTTCACTCATTTCTCCTGGCATCCTGATTATCAGAGAATCCGAGCTCTTTTCATGTGATGATCTTGAAAAAATTCATCGATGAGTAGTATTCTCTAATACGGCATATTAGTTGGCTTTAACTCTAGCTGAAAACTGAGAGTAGAGTCTGAACCATTACCCATCGCCAATTTGCCTGGCTTAATAGTAAAAGGTTCCAGTTATAACCCAGAATGGTAAAAGTCGAAGAAACAATAAGTAAAAGGAGAGCCCCTTTTCTGAGTTGAAGTTGGAACGCCTTACATTGCTACGTTTACGGGCTATAATCCTAAAAAAATTTTTCAACTTTCTTAGAAGAACACTACGACTGAAGTTCTTACCATGCTATATTACCAAACAAGAAAGATGGTTCAGCTTTTTGCTCAAGACTGGTGAACGTGTAGTTATCTTATCTACCGTCAGGAGTTGAACGTAGCTGTAGTAAATTTGATCTCACCCCGTTCATATCATTTCTGCTTCATTCGCTAAAAATACTACTCGACTCTTTGATTTTGATTCTTTCTCTGAACAACCACATCAACCTTAAAAATAAGCTTGAAGTTCATTTCGACTCGGAATTACTAGACAGCTGCTGCTATAGTTAGAACGAGATTCGACAGTAAAACATTTCCGTAAAACCATACTACTAAATGAAAGTGCTCAACTCATGCTACACATATGATCATGACGGATATTGCTCTCCACGAACTTCCGGTTGTAGATAGGGAGAAACTATGAAACAAAAAACTTCACCAGGTAGGTCAAAGATCAGGTAAGATGCAAACACAACAACTTGACAGACAACTTGACCACACACTAAATTCACATAAATACTATAGAACATATTAATCGCTTAGAGCCACCGTAATCACCGTAATTGGGTAAGAAAAATGAAACGCGGTTTTACGAATAGAACAGAGAACAGAGATCATATACCGCATCATTTCGCTACGATAAAGAAAACATGTGCCTAAAGAAGAGTACTGTAAAATCCAGTAGTCAACAGTCGACCCGAAATGGAAATTTCGACTCGCATACATCAAAGCAACTGTGTGTATGGGAGGAACATGGTTAGTACTATACAAGAAACATGTGAGAGAACAAATGGATACTTACGAATAAAAGATGGTACTTGAGACTATGAATTGTGGGATGTTTTGGATTTTTTCGCAGATCCAGAAGGGAGCATATTGGCCGCACCAGCCCCCGCTGAACCCGCCAGTGAGAGCGCTGCAAGAGCTGTGGGATCCATGAGAAGCGATTGTATCGCGAGAGGATTTGTCATCAAGGAAGCCATAAGCAACGGATTTAGCAAGTCTTCGGCCTGAAAATTATCGTGAAATCGTGAGGTAAATTTACGGAATAATAAAATTAACAAAAAAAAAATTATGCAAACAGAGATCAAGCGAGTGTGTGGCCAGAAATAGTCCCAGTCAGCACGACGATGAATTCATGCGGGAAAAAACAATTACCGACCTTAGCATTAGCTGAACTTGTACTTGAAGCGGAACCGGTTAGCGCATATGGATTGAATCCGAGTAGCGACTGTTGCAGCAACGTTTGTTGCATCAGCATTTGCATTTGAAGTGCCTCCAGTTGTTGTTTAGTAGCAGCCTCAGCAGCTAGGGCTGCACTGGCAGCACTCGACGACGCACCAGTCAAGGATGCGCCTAAAAGTAAGGAGTACAGGATTTACAGGAATCAGAAGAATTTTAACAGCATAGCACTAGTTTGGAAATCACAGACTGGAACATCCGTGACCTGCTGAGACTCAGAATGAAGTATGGAATAGAGACCCCATCAAAGCGATGAAACTTAAGGACACTGCTGATGATACATACGGCCTATAAGTTTTCCTCCCAGTATGAACTTGTGGCCCCTAAAGATAATACAGGGAACACTGTCGGGCCAAAAAACGAACTAAATAGGATCCAACAAGAGCTCCAAATCGGCTTTGGCAAGGTGCACTTACAAAAGTGACCGTGTTCAGACAGCTTTCTGCGCCATTCACAATAGAGCACACATGTTGAAAATGACCCGCGGCAAAGCGAAGGAAATTTTGATGGTTTCGGCCTAGGGTGGCTCCGTCCTACCAAAAACACACAGCTGCCAGGTTCTAAATATTTTTCCACATAATTTCTGTCGTCGAAATCTCTATAATCCCTTCTTCTACCACTTGTCAAAAGCTTTTTCCATTAGGTCCGCCTATTTTTGCGCTTTCTCACACATACTACTCGGCACCATAACCTTTCCTATTTTACCTAAATTAGGCATCTCATAATTAACGTGACCTAAGATTCAAAGGTCGGCAGTTGAAGTTAATTTGTTAGGATGATAACTTCAAAGGTACCTCCAAATACGCTGTTGCTGCTGGCTGCTTTATCAGTTGATTTTGCTGCTGTAGAGGCACTACCACCTGCACTTGCAACGGCAACAGGGTCTCCTCCGAGCCGATCCGGATGCGACATTCCCACCACCAGCTATGAGTGGATTGTATCAAACACTGTTCAACAAAAGGAAAAAAATACACTGCTTTACACATACCTGAGCAAGAGGAACACTACTGCTATGTACGTTCGCTTCGGGATGAGCGTCTAGCCATGAAGCTAATTTGCTCAGTGTCGGCCATTTCGAAGCAGGAAGAAGAGCTCCAGTCAACCTTGACAATATTATTTAGTGAAGATGGATTAAAAATACTAACCTAAATCAAACAAAAAACAGAAACGAGGAAAACAGACCTACTAAACACGGATACCGGGCCATCTCCAGCACTGCTAGAAGTTCCTGCATTTGATGCCTTCTTAGGAATTTCGCCAGGTTCAAGGCGTGGACTGGTCTCTGCCTTCGGAGTGAGCGGTGCTGGAGTGGGTGTCGCACTAACTGGCTTTGAACTAGGAGCAGGAGTGGTCGCTGCACTGAGTGGCTTCGGTGTAGATGGCTTTGGAGTCGGAGGGGCTGACGGTTTTGCGCTGGATGGAGCAGAATCAGCAGCAGCAGAGGTTACAACTGGTGTTCGAACAGCGGGTGGTGGCTCCTTCCCTGTAAAACATAACGTATATGGATTGCCTGTCAAACTTCGTCTATGAAAATTTTTGAAGTGAACAGAAAACTACCTAAACTGGCTAAATCCAAAGTGTATGCTGGATGTGATGCCAGCCACACACTGAGGTTTTTCAGCTTCGGTGCTGATTCTCCCAATAATCGCTCCTTTGTCTGGACATTTTGAACCGGAATTCTGGTATCTGAAAAATAACACTAGTAGGAATGCATACAGATGAATACCGCGGCTGAATTTTCCGGAGAATCCGAAGAAGCAATAAATATCGACATGCTACAGAAAAACGGGATAAATTTGAGGGCATACCTGGTGGAAGACTGGCTAGAATGATGAGCTCATTCAATCCGAGTTGAGCCATTGCAGCCGCCGATTGTTGTTGCTGCTGCGATGTTGAAGGAGCTGGAGCAGAAGATGTTGATGGAGCTTGGGAAGCAGTCGTGGAGGGAGAGGGTTCAGCCTAGAAAATTCATTGGACCATGATTACGTGTAGCGACAAGCTCTCAGCAAAACTTTTATACATGGCATGCTTACGAGATCGTTGTTTCTTTGAGAAAAAGAAGGGTGCATTTATAGTAACGGTTTGAATACACGCAATAAGCCATTTTATGTTAAAATAGAGGACCATTCCACATAAAGATGTTACGATTTTAGAGAGCACTATTGAAAGCTATCCCATTATCAAGCCAAATCACCAATGCGAGTAGCGTGAGCTCAGATACTGTGAGATTTATTGAAGGGACAAAATTTCGACAATTTCTTGATTTCATTTTGATTAGGAAACTTCATATACTCAAAGATAGCTAAATAGCCTAGTGTAACACCAACCTTCTTTGTCAAGTTCAGAACATCAGCATCCGTATTAGTGGAACCGGCGATGGCAGCATTGGCTAGGAGTGCAGCCGCAGCATGAGATGACGCTGCTGCAGCCGAAGTACCAGCCGTGGCTGAGCCGCCAGCTCCAGAAGAACTAGCTGTGGTGCCGGATGCTCCTGCTAAAAAAATTTCTGATCTATAGACACACGAACCAGTCACATAAAACTTGGATAATAGATTACGCCTGAATGAAAACTATGTTTTGTATCTTCAATGAGAACTCACCAGCCATGGCAAACAACGACCCAAGAAGTTGTGCGGCAGCAGCATTATTTCCCATGAGTTGCGGCATGAACATGGCCGATTGTAACATGGCAGCAGCTAGGGGTAGATCTCCCATTTGAGATAACATTGACTGCTGCATCAATGCACGCATCTTCTGCGCATCCGAATCCACAGCACGTTTTCGACCTCGTCGAACCTTGAAAACTACCGCATTAGAGGACAAGAATTCCACTATTATTCTTCTTAGAAAAAATTCAAACCTTAATAAATCATGATTCGAGAAAAAATCAGTCACCTGTTGCTGCGCTCGAACCCTCTCCTCTGCGTCACTATCATCAACGCTATCAGTCGTAGCCGTTCCATTCCATTTGCCAGTTTCTACCGTCGTGCATACCTCAATAACTCGTCGCAGCAACGTTTTTTCCGTAGGTCGAATGATCTGAAACAACCATCAGAGCTCTTTCGATGAATCATAGCGAATGAGGTGATTGTATACCTTCTGGAAGGCCGGCTTTTGAAGAATATTTGCCGAGATATTGTCAATGCCGTGCTGATCGCAAACAGATATAAGTTCTTTGTCATGCTGAGTAGTCCATCCAGATGGCATCGCTTCAGCGCAACATAGCTTCAACATCGGAGTCACTTTATCAAGGCCAGCAGCTAATGCGTGAACCTGTAATGTCATTGAATTTTTAAATAGAATTGCAGTCTGGCTGTGATGTACATTATTACTGGGGACAGGCATCGATTCATTAGGCACATTTTCTCACCTTTCTCGTCAAATGCAACCGATTCATCAGCTTTTGAGCTTTCCGCGAAGTCATGGCGTCAACCGAAAGTGCTCGTTTCGTATCAAGAGCAGACAGTTCGCCTCCTTGCGCCTAGAAAATTCTCAACAGTACAGGGAATCCGATAATATTCAACATTTGAAGAGATCTTCTTCTTACAACACTATAAACCCCTAGATTGACAAATATCAGTACATTGGATGCATTGAAAAAAAGGAAAGTAGGAACTATACGTGAGAATCTAGGAAATCAAACATGTGACCAAATTACAAGAAAAAAAAATCAAATTTTAGACGATATACAACCATTAATGAAAGATTAATGAAATGTAGTGAAAAAACGCATTGTAAAATAAGATATTCCAGTAAACTTTCCATACCTTAGTGCACATGGCAAGAATGCAGTACAAGTGTTCTTGCATCTCTTCATCGCTCTTTTTCTCCAGAAGCGGTGAAAATGCTCGAAAAGCGTCCCAGTCGATCATCGTCGGATCATTTCGCTTGTCTTTCATACCGAATGACCGCAGCACCCGCATGTATTCTTGCTCTTCTCGCCGACTCCACCTACACTTCTTCTCTCTGAGTTTGCTTTGAATACATTGTACACCCACAGTAATACCATACTCCCACCCTAACTTCGGAAACAACGACAGAGTAAATGCGAACCTCAGCTTCTCGTACACAGGATCAGTGATATTTCGCTGGCTGACAGCAATGAGCCTCCTGAACCTCGTTGAGATTTCAGCGGCGCCAGGGAACGTTTCCGGCAGACCAGTTTTCGTGGCGAAACATAGCTTCTCATCGGCACGTATGGCATCTACGTTGTCGAGACCTACAAATGATACAAATGATGTTAAACAGTGTTGAACCTGGAGGATAATGAGGAATACTTGGCTGCCAACTACACACCATGCTTGTATATGCCGATCAAGAGGCACTTGTCGCAATCAGCGTCCCATCCGTCACACATCGGTTCAATTAATGTTGGTACGGAGATATCAATAGTTGACCATTCAGCTCCTGCCTCGATATCTGCAGCTTTGTTGCCAATGATTGTCTGAATGGCTTTGATATTTCGGAAATTGTGGGCAACTTGCAGCAATAAGAAAAAGAAAAAATTCAAGAAGGTCCACTCTACAGCAAAACGTTATCTTTTCACACAATTACAACATCTCATGANGAAATGAAAAAGAGATTTCACAAGAGAAAAAGAACGAGACGATTCTTAATCACTACTAATGGTCAAGAGAACAGTTCGGGACTTCCTTAAAGACACCTACACAAGATAGGTAGTCAATACAATTCTTGCGCGCACATACCTTTTGTAGATGCCTTAGTTGATCAATTTTCACCAACAATTTGTTCGCATGGCGATGAACATGTCGTTGAAAAGAAGCATCAAGAGCAAAGTTCGGTGGATTGAATTCGGGAAGAGCGGCCCAGCCCTGTAACAAGATACAAAATGACATTTTTCTAAGTCGTTACCGTTGATGCAGTACCCAAGAATGTTGAAACAAAAAACAGACCTGATGATAAATGGATTGCGATCCCTTTGCCTCCTTAGCATTTTTAGCTCCTTGAGGAGCAATCAACTGCCACACTGTTTGCCTGACTCGCTCATCTCCACGATATTCTCGAACACAATGCAATAAAAGTGTACGCGCCATATGTGCAATGTCCATCTCAGAAACCTATATGAATCCATGTAGGTCATTTAATGAAACTATACGCTTGTGAAAAGAATAAAAATAGAAACCTCAAGCTCTCCACTTTTCTTCATTTCTGACCATCGTCCCCATCCCCAGGATGCCAATACTTTTTCGACCTGAAAGAACAAAACATTCCATGAATCAATCAATGCCTTCATTTCCTCTCTCTGTGGTGGCGAACTGTGCTCAAACTATGTAGACTGATTTCTGGACTAGCAAATGGCATGACCCACCCATTCATTCAATATTCCAAAATCTCGAGAATAAATCCCAGTCCCTGACGCATTATGCAATGCCAAACAAACACAAACAAATATTGTTTTTCAGCCTTATAGAAGGAAACACTGTTGTTTCGACGAAATAATAGATGACAATCTATTCTGATTCTTATTCTTATCAGCGAGAAGAAACCAACTCATGTGATACATTAACGGCCCAATCTTACCTTGAAGTACTCGCTCTTGTTGAAAGCAAGTTCGTCGGGACGATAGTTCACGTAGTCACCATCTTCATCATCACCACGTCGTCTCTTACGATTAGCCGACTGAACGTTTGAACCTAAAGCAAAAAAAAAATATTTAGCTGACGCAACAACCTTTACACCAAAATCAAAGATTCTGCAAAGGGGATCCGCAAATCGGAACTAAATCTCCATTCGAAGTCAGTGGTAGCATTAAGATGCAACCTGACAACACCGACATTCAGTTTTGCTCAGTTCAGAAAGAAAAGAGTTTCTCAACAAATGGCAAACTATACCTTGGGCTCCGCGTTTTCTTCCTTTACCCAATTCGTCGCTACCATCAGAGTCCTCACCTTCTTTTAGCGAATTCTCTTCGAAACTGAAATCATTGTTATCAAAAAACTACAAAATCATTGACTACGTGAAAATTTCTTATATAGAAGAACTAATCAACCACGGAAGAATACAAAGACGAAACGCGAGAAACACCGCACCGTTTTGTGCGCTTCCTTGGTTCTTGCATAATGAGATCACGGGAATCTGGTGTTGCCGTCGCCTTTTCAATGTCCACCTGAACACGAAGACATTTGGCAAAAAAAAATAACCTAAAAACAAATCTCGAATGAATCCTTGCAACAATACCTGCGCTTTTTCAGCCCATTTCGTCCAAAAGTTCGGGTCATCGATATCAATATCATCACCACGGTTATGAGTGGAATTGAAGGCTGCTTTGGCGAACAGTGATCCCTGAAGAAAGACGGATGCTTTTATTTACTTTGAGTAGGACGTTATGCAATAGTAGACGAAGGAAAAGACTATACTGTCATAAATGTCAGAACTATCAGAAAAAAAAATTGAGGGCTTGCCTTTTGCCCCGGTTCCAATGTAATCGTAGTGGTTCTCCTCTGAAGAATTGTTTCAATATCTTCTTCGCTGAACTTGCTACCTTCGTCAACGTTCTCATCCATAATCGAACCGTAAGCTCCCTGAAAAGGCAAACGGTAACGATACCGTTAACAACATTGAGAGATGTTGGAGTTTTCAAGAAATTGACGAACCTTCTTCAAGAGTTCCTCCACATCCTTTTTGCTCAGCGATGTGCTGCTTTCCTTGAGCGCTGTGGTTGACTGGAGGACAGCTTTATCCAAGCCCAACTTCAAGGATGCCTAAAGACAACTGTTACTTTCTCTTTAGGGACATGTTCAACATGACCAACTAACCTTATCGAACATTTCCCTTTCGTAAGTGTTCGCAGTTACTAGTCGATAAACTTTTACCATTTTCGTTTGTCCAATTCTGTGACATCTGAAAGAAGCAATGCAGCACTGGAAGAAAAAAAACTTGCTGAGTGAACATTCGGGGCCAAATGAAATAAAATAAAACATGATGAAAAAGTAAGAACGCTCTGCACCTTGCTTGAGCTTGTAGATCGTTCTGTGGGTTCCAATCTGAGTCAAAAATGATAACTGTATCAGCAGCTGTCAGATTGATTCCCAATCCACCAGCACGAGTGCAAAGCAAGAATACAAACCGGTCCGAATCTGAAAAAAAAAACTTAATCCGAAAGAATTCTTGAAATCAAAACTACGCTTATTAAGCACCTTTCTTCGAAAAGCGATCGATGGATGCTTGCCGCATATCGCCGCGCACGTTACCATCTATTCGTTCAAACGGATAATTCATATTGACAAGGAACTCTTCAAGAAGATCCAACACTTTGACCATTTGAGAAAAGATGAGGACCTTAGAAAATCAATGGTTACACGCAGCATAAACAAAGCATAAAAGCAAAAGTTTTAAGACCCATCCAAACAAGCAAAAAACATTTACTGAATTACCTTGTGACCATCATTTCTTAATTTCGGCAGAAGTTTTTCTATCAAGACAACCTTTCCAGAAGCTTGAACAAGCGCCTTATGTGCCAATGTTTCTTCGTCCCATTCTGGATGGAGTAACCTCAACTCGGATAATATGGTCTCTTCAGCACCCTTAAATCAGTAGAGTCAATATAAGCACCAATGAGAGACTTATTCTCGAAAAGGCCACTAGCTCCTCATGAACTTGCAACGAATTATTTCCTACCTGAATAAGGAAAGGGTGATTACAACACTTCCGCAATTCCATCATAACATTCATGAGAGAAGGTGCAGATGACCCTGAAACGATAACTTTCGAATATATAAGCCGAATATTGATTACGCTGGTTAAAGTACCTTTGCACAAATGAGAGAAGTTTCGCTCCAAGATAGCGCGATAATACTTCTTTTGCATGTCCGATAGTTGAACCTGTAAGAGAGATCGAAATATTACTGTGCACAGAGGAAAGTAAAACGCGACGATTACAAAAAAAAGAAAAGAAAAACTTCTTATGCGCTTCGATATACTCAGCAGAATTCACCATGTACCAACCTCGATAATCGTTTCCTCCTTAGGCTGAAGCGACTTTTCAACATCCTCCTTCAGACGTCGGAGCATCATTGGCTTCAGTATCTCTTGTAGCTTTTGCACTTGCTCATCTGACTGGCACTGCCCAAATTGTTCCAAAAACGCGGCTGCAAAGGCGAGCATATCAATTGTTACTTCAGAGTTATGGCCAATGTTTGAGCCAGAATAACGTCTGATCCTTTTGAAAAACGGAATCGATACCCGAGCTGCTGAACTGCTGCGGATGGAGGAAGTTGAGTAGTGAAAATAGTTCTTCGATATTGTTCTGTAGCGGTGTTCCAGTAAGTAAAACGCGATGCTCCATTCGAAAAGCATGTAAACCTGAGATAGCAAAGATGCAGCACTGTTTGAAAGAACCTTATTCCAAAGTGAACAGGAAGGTAAAACTTACCTCCAGTCAATAATTTGCAATTTCTGTTTTTCAAGCGATGAGCCTCATCAATGACACAAACTCTGAAGGGGATTTTGCGCAGAAATTCGCAGTCCGTTACGACCATCTCGAAGGTGGTAATCAGTGCATCTAGTTTTACCAAGTTTTTTCGCCAACTCTGAAATCTTCTGCTATAAATATGAATGTTTCAATCAACAAGATAGTAGTGTTTCAATAATTAATAATTGTTCAGCCGAGAGGAAAACACCGGGACAAAAGCATGACAGAAACTAATTAGAGTAACAAGCATCAAAGAACACCCGGGCAATGCAAACATACCTTATTACCACTCGAATGCTGTTTAGCGTAATAAATTTCATATTGCTGTATGACGTCGCGACTGTGTTGGCTTCCATGGTAGACCACAGCGTTCATATCTGTCCATGTCTCGAACTCCCTGACCCAGTTGTGTATTGTGGAAAGAGGGACAACGATCAAAAATGGGCCATGGATTCCATATCTAAAAAACATACTCAGCCCAATTAAATATTTCATTATAAATATCCGCTGTGACAATATACAGCAATCAAAATTTAGAGCAAAGACGGACTACAATAAGAATCTCGATAACTTCGACATTCACGTCAAGGCTATAGCAGCTGGCACGAGGTCCCGACGGCTCAATTCATGGCACTTGCCTCAGGTGTTAGGGTTTCCAACAAAAACAATCTCTACCATATAAAACACACGAGAGGAGAGACTAATTATAACTAAAACTCACTCATAAATTTGCGATAGAAACGTGATGGTTTGCACAGTTTTTCCCAGACCCATTTCATCGGCGAGGATGCAGTTACGTCTAAATGATTGGCTGCACTTACAATATTATACAGCTTTTATGAAATGTAAAAAACATGGAAACTTACAATCATTATGAAGACAAAGAAAAACGAAAGTATCAAATACTCACTCGTTGTAGTAGCAGTACAATAGCCAATCTACGCCTTCGAACTGATATTCGCGCAACGTGTTTCCATCTTTCCAAATAATATCGTCGGGCATTTTTGACCATTCATTAGCTTTCGGACGTGGTTTCTCTTTCTAAGGAATATTATTGTAGAGATGATCAGCTACAAGGTTTAATCTAAGTCAGAACTAATAGTTATTAAAAACTTACCACTTTCGCCTTGTCGATTACTTGTCTTTTCTTCCAGAGAGCAACCTAAAACGTAAACAATCATATTCTCTGGAACTCTGACCACTGAAAAGATAAGGGACCCAAAAAAGAATGATACCCCAGACACCACGGTAGGAACACGAGTAAGCTCACCTTCTCTTCAGGTATAGACTCAACGGGTTCCCACGTCACTTCGTCGTACGCGAGGCTTTTCCATTTTACTAGGGCATACTCCAGTCCATCGTCTCCTGTCCCTACGTCTACAACACGATCAACCACTGTGTAATCGCTATTGAAATCTTCCTCTTCCTTAAAAGAAAAACAAATTAAGTGTGGCGCTCAAATGGGAATCTCCAACAGCAAAAAAACTACACCCACATTATCATTATTTGAATGCGACTTTTTCTGCCGGAACCGTTTCACTTTTGCCACTGCACGTTTATCGACTTCTTCCAATTCCTGCAAACAAATATTTCACAGAGAACGGCTTCTCATAAACATGGTCATAACAATTAAGGTGGAGTTTAAAACCTTCAAAGTTTTCCATTCACAATGCACATAGGCTTTGCCCTTCCATTTAACCAGATACTGCTGTTCACCACCATCGGAACCATCTCGCTGATTGAGAATCTAAATAACAACTCTTCAGATATGAAGCGCATATGTGGAAGATTACCACTATATAAGGAAGAATATTGAAAAATGCCCTAATCTCGCACTCGACACTTAGAAAGCTGGCCAACAAAAACCGCGCAGTTCATCTACTCAAACTCAACGAGTCGAAACGTTCTCCGTTCGACTTGATACGGTTCCTCTACTCTTCTACTATTACGTTTTGAACTTGGTAGTGACTACCATACTTGGAGGAATCTCCCATTTAGTAGAAAATACCTTCTCAACAATATGATGATCACTGGATTGTGTCTCTTGAGAGTCAGTGGTCAAAATTGAATCTTCAGCGTCGTCATCAACACCGTCAACAGTGTCACCCCATTTGGATGAACTACGTTTCTGAAGAAAACAGAGATACAACATGAACTCAAAACCTTCAATTAACCTGAATAAATTCGAGGTTGCTCACATCGTCATCATCGCCGACTTCCTTTGAAGGCTTAGAAGCTCTTTTGCTAGACTTCCTACTTCGACCGTCAGGCACAAAGTCATCATCGTCATCGCCAGAGTCGTCTACGCTTTTTTTCTTCCGTGACTGAACAAGCATCTAATCACAATAAAAAATAACAGGGAAGAACAATTCTGGAAGCTAAAGCCATGCTTAGGCCCTTCATAACAGCTGCAGGTTAGTGAACATCAAGTCCAAATCGACATCTTGACTAATCTACTGCGAAGTCAATCATGATTACTCTTTCATAAAACAAGTACCATGTGTACGATACCTTTCCCATTCCACCTTTCAGCACACTTACAACTTTTACAAAATGACTGTGCTCTCGCCTCATCAGAAAACGGTCGTATTATTCACCAACACCGAAACGGCTTACATTAACGGACTGATGTACGATGCATTAGATTACGCATCAAAAAAACTAGTTCGAAATTATGGGAAAACTCAGCGCTAGTTCAAAACCGCAATTTTAGACATATGCCACCACTTCTCCATCACAAGTGTGTATTTTGATGTATAAGATGGTCGACTTATTGTTAGAAGTAGTCGTAAATCTATGAAATTATCTGAGAAACTTAGGACAGTATTATAGCATCATCGAGAGCAATTGATAAGTAATAAAAAATAAAAGCAGTATCAGTAGCATCGCAGATGAACTAAACTATAACCCCCATGTGATCCAAAAGTGGAAAATTTACCCAATGCTCCTTATTTTTATACAAAACCAGTAAACATTCACAACAGTAAACTGAAATGTTCCATAACATACCCGAACTACCGGGAGCCGCTTCGGTTTCCGACTTTCCGGAGCAGGGGTTGACGGTTCTGTGAAAACGCCATCCGTTGAGTCAGCAACCTCACTAGGCGTTGCATCCCGGTCATCATATACCTCTTCTTTCGACAGAGTCGCGACCTAAACGATTTCCAATAAAATAAGCTATGTAAAAGTCAACTAAAACTTCAGCTCAAGAAATACTCACCCTATCTTTATTCCTTGATCTTTTCGACGGTTTCACTGAAGGTGGTTCGCTTTCAGTGACTTCGCTCTCTTCAGGTGATGGATCGCGACTGAAGTTAATAATCACACATTTCAACTTTTTGAAAGTTATTCGAAAAAAAAAACTAGCAGAATGAATACAAACCTGCTGCTTGGTCCAGGCGTTGGCTCATCCGACGCATCCTCCTCTGCCTCTACCTCAACCTTTGTTTCTTCGTCTTCAGCTATGGCAAGATTCGTTGTATCCTCTGATTTCTCGTCAGTTTCCTTACAAAACAGTTCATTTTATGAAAATTTTGAAGATTTCAGCTTTATGCAAAATGAGGAGTCTGAAAAAGGAAATCACCTCAACGTGTTCCTCTTCTTCTTCCTCCTCTTCTTTCAAGTCCTCTGGAACAGCGATAGCCGGCTGTGTCTCATCCGATAGAGTGGAATAGTCAGCAGCAGCTATACCGCTAGCGCTAGTTACTGGCGGTTCAGGTTCCGGTCCAGGGGATGATTCCTTTGGCTCTTCTGTTTCTTGTATTGGCTCTGCTGGCTCTGCTTTCGGTTCAATTTCTTCACTACGTTGTTCTTGTTGTTCTTCTGTTGCTTCCACTTCTTCAACCGCATCAGTTCGCATCGGAGGGGTAGCGTCATCTCTAAAATGTTAACTTTTGGAAGATATTTTTCGCAACTACGAATAAAAAAAAGGTACAACAATATGCGGACCTGTCATCAAATAAGTTAGCTGAGGGTTGAATCAAGGGCTCCGGTATCACGCAAGCCGGCTTCTCCTCCATCTCGTCCTGAGACGGAGGTTCCGCTTTGACTTCAGGCGGCTAAATGAAAGGGCTTATCAACAAACCAAGTTCGTAAGGGTTTTCGCACTTACATACTTTTCAAAGCGGGTTGATTGGAGGTGAATACACCTGACTAAGGATAAATTTGAATAGCATCTCTGATTGTGGGTCTTCCCATACCTTAGAAAGGTCAAAATTGTTAATTAAAACTATGCTCCAAAGAAGAAAGGTGAAGTAGTGTTAGATGATTGCACATACAACCCGCGAGCCCAATTCCGAATAGAAACTTGGCTGCACCAATCAATCTTTCCCCACATAAGAAGCCACGATTCAGAGTGAAAAATAAGGGCACAGACTATTTTAACAAAAAATTTATCAACCCCGTTCAGAAAAAAGAGTGGGGAGAATGCAAAGGTACACTGAAAAGCCATAGTGAGCCGAGCTTTCATTCGTCGATACTTCGCCACAACGATTCCTCTTTTTCGAGTTTACAGTTATTTTCCTGACCTGATAACTTCCTAATTTCGTGATCTTACAGATTTAACAGAAGAATGAGAAACATATAATCCCTTAAAAAAATATACTACCTTCTCTTGTTCTTCAACAGGTTTTTCTTCTCGTTTTTCTGTTTCTGGTTCTGACTCTGGCTTTGTTTCCGCATAAGGATTAAAAACTGTTGGTTTTAGCTCTACTGCGATTGGCACTTGCGGTGATGGTTGTGGTGGTTGCATTTGAGGCACCGTTTCCATTGCATTATGATTGTGTTGAACCTAAAAATACTCATCCCAGTTCTATTTAAAGAATGGATCCATATTTGCCGAGAAAGGACTAGAGCAAGTGCCGTACACAGAAACTTACGCCGTTGTTCTGATAACCGTTGTCCATGCCATTCACTTGCGGCATTTGATGTAGCTGTTGCGCCGGAACCTGTGGTGTTATTTGCTGCTGGGGTGGCGCCGAAAGTGGCTGTTGCTGTACTGGCAATGGATGTTGTTGGTGTTGCTGGATATGTTGTTGAGGGATCTGCTGCTGAGGGATCTGCTGCTGAGGAATCTGCTGCTGATGATGATGAGGTGGCGGTGGCGACATTAGCTGTTGCGAATCCTAATAGAATGAATTTCGATTCAAAATTAAACCCGCGATAAGAATTACTAGAGTCCTAGAAATCACCTGATATTGCTGTTGTTGCTGTGTGGGTGTTGGTTCAGGAGGGACAGAATCCTTTGTATCACAGTTAAACGCTTCATCACCATTAGGAGACTCTCCAAAGCGATGATACACACTTATTAACGTACGCCCCGATGTTTCTGGCTTGATATTCACCTGAATTCCCTTGTTAGTTCAAAGAACCTGGAAAAAGGCTGTTCAATATCAACACACCTGAACTTGACTCCCACTTTGGGTGACTTGTACCGGTGTTGCAGGTGTTGCTGACGGACTCTGCTGGATTACTACTTGTTGGCTAGGTGGTCCTCCACTAGGTCCACTTGGCGGGCCCATTCCAGGTGTTGACATCTGAACACAGCATGAAATTCTTCAACACGCTAACTATGCAAGAAATTTAACGAGTCTATATTGTTATAAGTAGAAACCTGCTGGTTCATAGGCATAGAAGGGTTCGCGTTCGGCATGGATGCCATTCCCGGCGGTGGTTGGCCTGTTTGTGGCTGTTGTTGTTGTTGTGAAGGTTGTTGTTGTTGCTGTTGGGAAGCCGCCATCGTCTGTCCACTTTGTGCAGCCATTTGTTGCAACCGGAGATGCTCAGCTTGCAAATACTGTAACCGCATCTGTATCTGAAATGAAGTCGTTGTGATTAGATTGTACCGTAGTCCCAGTTCAAGAGACTATTGCCACTACACTAGCTCAAGTGTACGGCAATGAAGGGGAAATAGAAGTAACATAGAATTCACGATAGTGAAGAAACGCCGATTGCACTACAATAAACTGATTGATGACTAAGAACGTGACTACTCATATTGCCCATGTCCTTTTCGCCACGGTGAACTAGTGAATTCCCTATTTAAAAAGAATAGCTCCTAATTTGACACCAAATCATAGATATCCCTATTTGTTTTGATTTGTCAGTACAGTTTTTATACACAACAATCTTCGATAGCCAAAAAATCGTTCACACTATGTGATTAAACTTCACCAAATAGTAGTTTTCAAACATCGCTTTCTCACAGGTAAATTCTCCTTAAATCGGAATGCTCCCTGCACAATTCACTTACAGTTTACACCACGAAACTTCACCTAAAAGAAATCAAAAAATGTAAAGAAACCTGCTGAATTTCCTGCTCTATCATCGGTGTCCTCTGTTGCTGATATAGATGTTGCAGTCTCTGTTGCATGCCTCGCATATCCATCTCCAAATGGTACATTTGCTGGAACAAACAGTAATGACTAGAAATTAAAAATTAGCGACCTATAAGTATTCATTCGAAGAGAACGAACCCTACCTGTGACGACTGCTGACCCCATTGATCCGGTTGATTAGGATGCATATTGGGAGCACTCTGTTGTGGTTGTTGAGGTTGTTGTTGCTGCTGGTAGTATGGATGTTGCTGAGGCTCCCAGTACTGATTTTGCATAGGTAACTTGAATGGAATAATAATACACCAAATTCCATTTTAAGAGTGTTAGAAAAAAAAANAAAAAAAACAGAAATGGTAACTTACAGCTTGTTGCCCTTGAGGATACTGCGGTCGCATTTGCGGTGGAGGGTACTGCTGTGGAGGATAACCAGTCTGAGGCGGCGCTCCATATCCATAATGGTTGGCACTTGTTGGTTGTGGTGTTGCGTACGCATTTGACCGCTGCTGTTGAGTTTGCTGAGTTGCGTACATTGGCTGTTGCATTCCTGGGTACCCAGGTTGAGGAGCATATTGCGGTCGGTAACCAGGAGGAACGCCTTGCGGTGGAAAGTGTGGAGACTGTTGAGGGGCTGCTCCACCGTACATGCTCATTTGTCCACTCTAAACCATGTGAAACGTTTTCACCTAAGACAAGGAATCAGTTTAACGGCAGTTTCGAGTTTTCCAATGACTCATTCTAACCACGGAACATTATTGCGAAATTTAATACATGCAAATGACAAATAATTAGTACATAGAGGCGACAAACAATAACTTATAACCGACCTGAGGCGGATACATCCCTCCCATCTGCTGCATTGACGGCCGTATCATAGGATTGTTCGACATCGCAGCCATGCTTTGCATGGGGTCCATTTCTTGCTGAAAAAAAAACGAAAAATTTAAATATTCTCGAACAGTTATTGGAATCACAGCAGAGCGAGCCAAAGGTGGTTTTGAAGC